CATCAGCTGCCCCCGGCGGCACTTTCCCCGGGAGGAAGGTGGGACACCCCAGCCCGAGGCCAAGTCCCGAGGTTAATTGCAATCAATTCACCTTCCATGCAATTACGCTTTCATCTGCACGCGCCTGTGAAGTGAGCGTGCTTAACGCGGCGCCAGCGGGAAGGCAAATGTGCCTCTCTTCCCCTCGGAGCCAATAAAGCCAGCCGTGGCACGGGATTACAGCGGGGCAGCGGGGACGGCTCAGCCCTCCTTCCTGACGTTCCCATTGAGAAGGTGCGGGGCATAATTAATTATCTCCCCGTTGTGCTGATTAGCACAGGGCTCATTGCAGCACGCCGCCAGCGGAGCATCCCGAACGCTGGGGAGGCAGCAGCAGCCGGCGCTGCTTTCCGGAGAGCATCCTCACCCAGCGCCAAGGCCAGGCTGAGGGGAGAGCTCCAGGAGAGCAAACCTGCCCCTTCCCAGCCCAAAAGGGTGGCTGGAAGGAGCCCCAGGATCCCCCTGTCTGCTCCCCACGTGGGATCAGCCTCCTGCACGTTGTTATGGGCTCAAGCCTCAGCCTTCCCCTCCCTGGCCTAAATACATCCCCACCTCTCCATGCTCCTCACAAAACGCGTTCCCCAGACCTCACATCAGCCTCAGTGCTCTCTGCTGGGCTCCCGCCAATTAATCCACATTTTTCTCGAAAAGCAGCTTTCAGAACAGGGCAGAAAATGCCAGCTGAGCTCCCGAGTGGCGCAGAGAGCCTGCCTTGCTTGTGATCCCCCCCTTTGCTTCTCAGGGCGAGGCGCCGGCTTCTCTCACAGCCACGCATTGTGTGCTGCGTCTGATGCTCTCAAGTCCTGGCAGATCTTTTTTTTTCCTGTTCATCTCCTCCTTGGCTAATGGTTCCTCACCACGTGTGCTGTTCATTCCTACCTCAATGCATCACTTTGCACTTGGCCATATTAAACTGCCTTTTTTCTTGCTCTTCCCCTCAAAATTTCCCATGAGGATGTTGAATCCCTGGCCTTCCATGGGTTCCCTGCCTTTTCACCCCTTGACACCCCTCCCTTGTCTCTCCCCAAGCAATTCACCAAACCACTGACCAGGGTGTTCCTGTGGTCCCACCGCTGATGGTGGGGCCTTCCAAAATCCACCTCTCCCATCGCGTCCCACGAGACGGTGTCAGAAGCCTCCCTAAGCAAAGATGTATGATATTCATTGCCTCTGCACAAGGCTTATTGCCCTGTCACAGGAGGAAATAAGGTGAGTTTGACATGATTTGTTCCTGACAAATCCCTGTTGGCTGTTACTTATCTCTGTGCTATATTCTAGAGGCTCATAAATAATTTGTTTGATTATTTCTTCCAGCATTTTTCCATGCGCTAAGTAGACTGGCTCGTCTACAGCTCCTTGGCTCCCTCGTTTGCCTTTTTCCAAAGACAGGCACTCTGTTGTTCCTCTCCTGCTCTCCTGGACTTCGGGAGCCTCCCCTGCTCTCCACAGAAAGACTGAAAGACTCCTTCAGTGAGTTCCTCACACCCAGCCTAATGGAGGATACCCTGCTGTCTCCTTCTTCCACCCTAAATTTGGCCTCCTGATTGCTGAGATGAGTATCGTCACCCAAAATCGTTCCTCAGTGGTGACGTGGGTAAGGCTGGAGCAAAACAATGTGTGCTTTTGCCTTTGTGCCATCACCTATTTCTAGCTTCCCCACCTCATTTAGCAGTGGGCCACCTCAACTCCTTTCTAAGATAGCCACAGAATATGTATTTTTCTTTATGTCATTACAGATTGCATCTCTTTTATGTCTTGGACCTTCTCATTTTGCCCCTGAAGCTCCACACTATTTCTCTTCTGCTCACTGTATGCGACACGATCTACTTTTAATTCTTTGGAGACATCCACTCTGTGTTCATGTGCTCTGCTACAACATTTCCCATCTCTCCTCTCTTGATGGACCTCAGGATCTCTTCTTCAAGGGCAATGCTAACTTACCTGAACTTTTTCCCTCAGTCCTGCTTCTCGTAGGTTTCCATCTACCAAGTCTTTCTGTTTACTGATGTTCACCACCAACTCTTCTCCTTCCAAGAAACACAAACCACATCGTGTTGTACTTTGTGCCTCCCAACTCAACTTCTAGCTTCACTTTTTTTTTTTTTTTTAAAGTATTTCCTGTTGATAAAATCTCCTTGTTTTCCTTACTTGCTGTCTCAATCACCTTTCCAGCACATCCAAGGCCACCTTGGACAGGTTATGTCATCTTGCATCCCCCTGCTGACTCTTCAGCAGCCACCCTTCACCGTTTTCCACTATTTACCCAAGTCTGAGCTGAAAACTGCCTGTAGGGCAGAGCTGTAGCGGATGCAGACAAGATGATGCACAAATCTTCATTGGAACAAGATGTTTCCTTTTCCTCTTGGAACCGTTTAATCAATTAAATGTGTATATGTGCACAGAAATGTATGGATGTACGTAAACACTGAAATACATAACAAATACATAACAAACACATCTATAGGAATATAAAACGAGGTGGTGTTTGGAAGCCACAGTGGGTGGTGTGCTCATTTGGGCAGGGCATCCCCTCAGTGCCGGCGCTGCTCATTTTCAGCTATCCCAGCCTGTGTGGTAGCGTGCCAAAAGAAATACCAACAAGCCTCAGCTTTTTACCACATGATGAGACAAAAGCCCAGTACAAGCTCCGAGTGCTAAAACCCAGCTGTACAAACAGTAGGAAGCTGGCACACGTGTAGGTGCTTTTAATCACAAGCCAGATGTGAATCCGGCCCTGGCGCAGCCCTGCCAAAGCCACGGGCTGAGGGGCACGGGCTTGCGGATCCCCATCTGGAGGAACATCTCCAGATTATCCCATGACCTCGGCATTTGAAATTAGCGTGGGGGATTTTAATGGTATTTACTACAGGCTCCCTCCTACCAAAACCAAAACCTTCCTGGAGGCGAAACAGCAGCCTGGTGTCACCTTCAAGGCTTTGCCCGTGTCTCGCTAAGGAGCCACAGGGGGCTGCGGGAGAGCCCCAGCATGGGAGGATGAAGTGTGAAGTTTGACAGCCACGGCTTAGGAGAGAGCAAAGTCGTTTCCTCCAGACCCAGGAGGAACCAGGGCACTTGTGGAGAAGAGCCTGGCCGAGGGCCAGCAGTGAGCTCACCTCAGCGTGCCGGGACTGCTTGCCTCTTAGCTGGAGATCTTCAAAAATGAACAAACAAAACAACAACAAAAAAATCTACATCTGATCTGGAACAGGTCCCAGCCTCTCAGCAGCAATCTTGTTTGGACGGAGAAGTGGACTGCTGCTGGGCTGGAGGACGTGGCGAGCCAAAAAGTGCAGGCAGGTGGTTGCAAGGTGGGACATAAACCTAAAATGTGGTTTTCCATTTCGTATCCTTACTGATACAGACCGAGCTGCAGCTGCTGTGAGGGCCTCCATGCATCAACACTTTTGCACCGCCTTCCCTCTAGTTTTTTAAGGTCAATCCATACGTTTTCTTTCACCTGTGATGTAATGTAAAGTATCCAGTAGTCAATAATGGCAGATAAAACCCAACCCTTCATCTTGACAGAGATAATTTAGGGTTTTTGAAACCTTCTGTTAGCGAGGTGAGGTCCTTGCCAGCACCTGTGCTGTGCCCAGGCCTTGGTTTTGCAAGGTTTTGCAGCTGGGACCTGGCTCCAGGCAGGCGCTGGATGGAGCCACCTCACTTCAGGGCAGGTCTAACGCAGGCACTTTATTTTCCACGTGTCCATGGCCTGGGCAATGGCACAGGCAGCTGCCACCAACCTCAGCCATAAAACACCAGCACTTGGCTCAGCCAAGCGCAACTCAGAAGAAATGCTGAGTTTTATGGTATTTTAAAAAAAGCTCCAACCTTACAGCATTTTTCTGGGAGATGGGTTTAGCTGCGTGGTTCCTGGACCCTTGGCCAGACGCTTGTTTTTGCCGTGGCGTGCTGTGACAGCAGCTCTCTGGGCTTATCAACCCTGCAATGGAAACACCGGGGCCTTTTTGCATCGCAAACTAGGCAGCAGCAGCGAGAGATGGAAAAACAGTTTGCCTGCCCTGGTGAAGCCCTGCTGGTGCTGCCAGCAGCGTGACACCCGGGCACATCTTGGTGTGCCAGAGGTTTCTGTGCTGCCTGAGGGGGCGCGGGGATGCCCAGGGACAAAGACGTGGCCAAGAGCAGCTGGTGGATGAAGCCATAAATTGTCCCACTGGCCTCCCCGCTGCCTGCTGGGGCTGCACGAGGAGACCCGAGGTCTCCATCATCACGAGGAGCATTGCTATTTCTCACGGAAACCCCCCTGATCCTTCCTAACAGTCACCAATTTTTATCTCTTTCCTGGAACTGAAAGCCAGGGGGAGCATTCACATTGCGCCCTGCCAGATTTCCATGGGAGCCATGGCAAAGCAGTTGTTGGCATCTCCAAAGCTGGCACTCAAGACCCTAAGGAGATCAGTCCTGGGCTTATAACCTTAGGGTTCAGAGGACAACCTTCATGGTCTTCTACAGACCTGGCTATTCTTGTCTTTTTTTAAAATCTTGCCTTTAAAGTGTGCTGCTGCATTTGCTGACCACTGCTAAAAGCCCAGCTCAGCGGGGCCACCAACACAAGGCAGAGAAATGAACATCCAGAGGGCTGAGGAAGGAAAGGAAAAGAATAACTTGGGTCTTTGCTGCAGCCTCTCCTGGCGCATCAGGCACCTCGGTGGCTGGAGATGCTCCGTGTGGAAAAAAAAGTAGAAAACAAACCTAAAAGTAGAAAACAAACCTAAAAAGTGAGCTTTCTGCTCCGAGCCAGGGAGGATCCCGTGTGTATCCCACACACTGGAGGAGCTGGGTCCACCAACACGGGGGGTCCCCACAGTGCTTAATTGCAGGGGCCCTTTCCTAAAAAAAATATATATTTTTTTTTAAAAAAAGAAAGAAAAAAAATAAGCAAGTCACCATGCTTCTGTCGCCCAGAAGACGCCAGCGAGCTTTTGTGTGGGTTTATCTGAAGCCTCCCATTCCCCTTTGTTGTCGGAGCACATTTTGCTCCGGTGTCAGCCTGTGTCAACCCCAACCTCTCCCTCCGCGCTGCTGGCGTGGCTCCAGCCTCCCAAACGCCGGCTTGGCTCCCTCCTGACACCTCCATGGGATCCGTCACAACACCTCGCCGCATAACGAGCAGGCGTTTCCTCCCCATCAGCACACGGAAAGGTAATTAAAGCTGGGTAGGTACTGCTGGTGTTGTGGTTGTCGCTCTCCGAGGCTCAACAGCACCAACGCGACTTCTGCTCAATTAAGCCCGGGGATAAAAATAAAATAAGAGAGGGTCCTCGGCAGCCCTTTATGTCTGCATGTTACAGCCAGAGCCTGGGGTTTACGCACACACAGCCCCTGGAAGGGCTTCCAGTAAAGATGTCTCCAGCTGGAATGCCCATTGTATCCACGTGCACATCCACACCTGGCTGCGTGCATGTGGCCATGCACACACCTCTGCGTGTAAATCCCAAATCTGTGCCCCTTCCTGCTCATGCTAAGGGTGCCTTCCTCCCCGTTACAACAGCATTTGCACATTTATGGGAGGAATAAAGAAAGAAAAAAAAAAAAGGATGCATGAGCCATGCGGAGGAGCCTTCCCTCTGCCAGCCAGAGAAAGAAGAACTAAAAGGATTATAAAAGTTCAGATTAAAATGATATAAAATCTAGCATTTGGCTCCAACACTAGTGCCTTGGTCCTCTGTAGCTAATCTGTATGCACTCTGTGACCTCCTCGCAGCGAACCCTGCTAAATATATTATTCCCACGGGGGCTTTCACTGCTGCTTGGTGTCAGAAATCAATATGTATGAGGCGCGTGGATGGGAATTTCTAATAGATCTGCCTGGCCCTGTGCTGCTTTTCAATATCTGCCTTGGACTATTAGTGCCGGCTCGGTGCCTGTGAAATAACCGAGATAATCTTTTAAGGTGCGCTGTTAAGGTGGAACCCAAACGTTGCCGTTTCAATTAAAACAGAGAAATATTACATATATTCATAAATCAGCCGGCGCCGCGCGCAACCTCGCTTATAAACAATGATGGGGATTAAAGTATTAGGGCGAGCATGCTAATGGCCGGGTTGCTGGGGGAGCGCTGAGCTCCTTCCTGATTTTTTTTTATGATGATCATGTTTTTTTTATCAACAGCAAATTGGGGGGATTCGGGGTGGGGGGCAGGTTCCCGGCCACCAGGCTCTGTCCCCGCAGCAGCCCAGCACCCTGCACCGCTCTCCATTTTGGAGAGCAGCTCAACCTCAGCACCCGAGCCTCTGCCCTGCTGTGAATGAGGGCAGGGGCCCGATCTGTGGGTTCCTGCAGGGCTGCCCCTTGCCCTGTGCTGCCCTCCGGGGTGGTGCTTTGGGGAGCTGGGTGGTGGGGGTGGCTGTGGCCCCCCCACGCCGCTGGCTCCTGCGCCCTCTTTGTCTCCAGCTCAGCGCGCAGGGGAAGCCGTCTCAGCTCCACGCACAGACGTGTGGCTGCAGGAAGGCAGTGACTTGCTAAAGGGCCTCTCGCTTTTTTTTATATTATTATTATTATTTTTAACAGGGAGAGGTCTCCGGCTCTGCTCAGAGCTGGAGATGGCAAGGGAGAGCCTTCAGCCTCCAGCCCCACCGATGCTCTCCCCCTGCCGCACAACCCAGCGTTTTCTTTCCTCCCCATCCCCTGCCCCGGCCTGCAGCAGCCCTGTTGGGAAGGGGAAGCAGGGCTGCCCCCAGCCCGAGCCCCCTCTGAGGTGCCCGGCTTGCCCCGAGCCTCCCCTGCACCTGGAGCACTGCAAATGTTTATAAAGGGCTCCGGCACCGCGGGCGGCTTTACCCCGGCTGCCGAGAGCTGGCTCGGAGCTGCCGGGGCTCCTGGCGGTATTTGTAATACAAACACTTCTAATCTAACGCACGCAATTCCCCGCCGCTTAATAGGGCTGAAGTTCCCCTCCCGCCTCCCCTTTCTCAACCCATCAATTAGGTGGGTAGATGTGAAAACAAACAGCCTCTGTGTTTTCTGCCTCTCTGAGGAGGTGTAATGGTGCGAAGTGCTGGTGGCGGGCGTTTGCTGATGGGAAAAGAGGAGCCGAGTGGGTCTGGGCACGCAGCCGGCTCCGTGCGGTGGCCGTGGTGGTGGCCCTGGCACAGGAGGACTGCGAAGGAGACTCCTGGGGTGTAAAACCTCACCGGGGTGTAAGGGCAGAGTAGCACCACTGGAGTAAAGGGGAGCAGCCTAGGGCTGGTGCAGCATCTGGCCGGCTTCGACGCGCTCCTGGAGGAAGGAGCGAGCACAGACCGTGCGTCCGCCCTGCAATACTCACCTGCAACGTAGATAACATCAGCGCCGAATAGAAAACCTCCCTTCCAGTAATTGTGACCTTTCCTAAGGCAGGCACTCTACTGTAAAGGTGGGCTCTCTGCGGCGGTGCTGTTAAGGGAAACACGGTCAAAATAACCTGTTAGAGGTTTGCTTGGGGCTGCGACGGAGGAAACACTGGGGTGGGTCCCGTGAATCGGGCAGGAAGAATCACACAGCAGCAGCGATGCTCATCTGGGTCAGTGCAGTCATGGGCACCACGGTGGAAACTGATGGGCTGCGGCTCGGCCCCCCCCCTCCGCTGCTCCCTGGGGCTCTGGCGAGGAGCAGCAATTCATCCCGGCCCTTCCCAGCACGTCGCTCCTGCTGCGCCCCAGGATGCGGTGCTGCAGGGCCAGAGTGCAGCACAAAGCAGGGAATCCAGCACAGGCCACGCGTATCAGCAGGTATCTGAGGGGGCAAAGACAGCTGTGACTGACTCGGGCACGAGCCAGGTGACGGGGGACCCACCAGCAGGGTCATGCCCTGGGAAGCTAAAATAAGGGCAAAAATTAAAAATAAATAAATAAAATTAAACATTAAAATTGAAAAGAAAAAAAAAAAAAAGAGTGGGCAAGTGAACTTTTTTTCCTTTCCCTGGCTTCTCTTTTTTTTTCTCAACTGTTGCAACTCTCGCTTATGTTATTGGAGTCAGATGTGCTGGGTTGCAACAGGAAAAAAAAAAAACAATTAGGTAATAATCCTGCTCGTGCTTCGCCTTTGTGGTGAGGCTGCCTTGGCATCGTCCCCATCCCACAAAGCGAGCCCAGGTCGCCCTTTCCAGCAGCAGCAGGAAATGAACGCCAGGGCCCGGCGGCGCCTCCAAATGGTGCCTGGCCAGGGTGGCTGTGCCAGCTCTGCACGGATGGGGACGGGTCCCGGCTGATTTGGCTGCTCAGCTCAGCTGCCTTTGCTGTCCCTGCTCACACCCAGGTTAAGCACTCGTCCTCCTTCCGCCATCCAATCCTTTCGGCAAGATCGAGATCACGGCCACACCCCGGGCCTGTGGCGAGCAGTCGCAATGATGCCATTTTTGTGCATAATGCTTGTAACACCATCAGGCGGGCGTGCAACGAGGACGCCGGCTCCTTTATACGGGAGGATGGTCTGCAGTTGTGTGCAGGCAGCTGGCCAGCCCGGCTGCCTCTCCCTCTAGAAACCCCATCCCCGTGCAGGTTGCTGGCAGCTCACACGCCTCTTGAGGGACGCCACAAAGAGCTACAAGGTGAGATTTCCTCTTACTTCTGCTTCTAGACGTCCACCAGGCATCGCTGGCTGGGGCACGGGACCCCGAGGGCAGGGCAGGAGGCAGCCCCAGACCTCCTGAGCCGACACGTGAGCAGCGCGAGCATCGCCCGGCTCGGGTAAGCACGGCGCAGCGGAGGCGAAGGCGCTGCCTAATTGGTCTCAGCTGGAGGCTGCGTGTCAGCGCGGTGAAGAAAGCAGGTCTAGGGGAGAGGAGACACGGCAGTGAGCAATTAAGGACAAGCCCTCGCTTCCCTTCCCCCTCTCTGCCAGCCCTGAGCCCTGGAAGCTTGGGTTTGGTTTAAAGGGAGGGCATTTCGCATTGCTTACCGCGCCTGAAATGACCTGGAGGTGTTGCTGCTGGTGTTTCCAGGTTTACTGCTGAGAGCATCTGCGGGGATAGCTACAGAGACCTGGTTAAGTCGAGTCAATGTTTGCACCTTCATGTGTCCATTCCTCTTTTTTTTTTGTAATTTATTTATTCTTTTTGTCTTAGACACACAAAAGAATTGACACAAGGAAACTCTTCATACAGTTCAAATCCAAGTTTATTAGCCTGTAAAAGTCTGTTTCCACACAGTAATCATAAGAAATGAATGAATGTTTATGGAGCATAGCATAAAAAGATAGCAAGTCAGCCATAGCTTGGAGGTTATGATTGCTCACAAAAATTAATCAGCAGGTCACATGGCATTGCATCAAAAAAGGCAAATCAGTTCTAGGAATGCAAACAATTGGGATAAAAAGGCAAAACAAGTCAGAGCAGAATACCAGAAAGCAGTAATTAGATTCACAGTTCCTAATCTGGGCGGCAGATTTCTTTAGACAAGGTTATTTACCCACTAATTCTCCCCGAACAGGTTGGAAGCCACTTGTCCATAGCTCTGCATTAACCCACACACCCTCGGTCAACACGGCAGCCGGGCAAGCTGACTCTCCATCTCTAGGCATGGATATCCAGCTCTAGGCATCTCTAAAACGCAGGCACCAAGGAGACGAAGCCCACTGCATAGATCAGCTACTTCTCACAGAGCCTGGTGGCCTCAGACACCCCCAGCTAGAAATCAGAGCTTCCTACGAGCCACATGGACCGAGCTATTCCAGTCACGGTCTCGACACACAAACCTTCTTTCCCCTTAGATCTGCATTTCTTCTATTTTTTTTTCCCCGAAGAAGCGCAGATGGCTAGCATTGGTAACTCCGTGACGAGGGCAGATGTAAAGGAGCGAGGGAAGAAAGGTGTTCTCAGCTAGAGAGTGCGATAAACTGAGCTGGGGGAAAATGCTCCGAGTAATTAGTCTGGGCTCTGACTGACGTGGCGGCACCTGAAGATCTTCCTACGAGGCTTCTGATGAATTATTTTCTAGCACAGATCCTTCACTCAGCAAGTCAAGGGTGGCTTACACAGACCAATGAATCCCCAACCACAGGAGCTTCCCTCACAGGGCACTCAGATTTAGACATCTTGGTCTACTCAGAAGTGCCTTCAAAGTTTGTTGGGAAATTAAGCCATGAGGATTCAAGTCTAAAACCCACTTTTCAGGGAATGGGCAGCAGCATTACAAACTATCCTTGTTTATTATATTAAAAATAACACGAAAACACCTTAATATAGTTTGAAAACTTCAAAGAAGAATGGAGGCGCTTACTTCCTGAGCATTACAGCTTATTCAGGCAGCCTAGATGACTTGTCTTACAGGATTACCACTCGCTACATGCATTTCCTTTACTCTTGTTAGGCAAAACCGCCTTTCCAGAGAACCCAGCTATCCCAACAACCGCGTCCATCCTAAATACCAAACAGCAAAGGGAATCAAGGCCAGGGTGGGGGCAGATCCCAATATCTGTGTGATGCTGAACTTCACCTTTCTTTCCTCAGAGAGGGCTGGTGGTCTCCAATGTCACTGTATATTCTACCGACAAGAAGCGTTTCTTATTTTCCTAGACTTTAGGGCCATCTACCCATGCCCTCTGCACACTGGTGACCAAGCAGATCCTGGCATCAAACTAAGGTAGAACTTACAACAAAGCCACCTCCGCAACTTTCTCAAATTTCACAAGTTATCCAGCAAAGCCCATGGGAATCCGAGGAGGACTGGGGCCTCCCAGAAGGCGCGTTGCTTTGCACCGCTAGACCATTCATAATTTCAGACCTGTTCCTTGGAGAAATATCAGGGAGAGCTGAAATGGCTGGTGGCAAAAACAAATTGAGTCCAGCATGGCCTAGAAGAATTGAGCTTCCACGCAAAAGGATATTTCCCTTCCTCTTAATAGTCTCAGTAATGAGTTTGTCAGTTTGGGCTTTGAAGAATTACCTGCTTGTTGTTTGGATTGGTTTTTCTTTTTTAGATTTTTTTTTTAATTAAAAAATAAAAGCTATAAAAAGCTAAAGGTAGTTTTAAACTGCAGGGTTCATATCTGGGGTGAGTATTTCTCTGGAGCTGAGGGACGTTTTTCATTCAGACTGGTATAAAACAATACTCAAGGGGAAAAATAGTTGAAAGAGAAAGCATTAAAGGAATAGGAACTCGGAGACCTCTTCCTGCTTCCAAATCGACCATCTCACAAAATTAGCACATTTCCTCCCTGCGAATTCTGTATCTAATCCAGAGAGATCACTGAATGGTGCCTGAGCAACTTGGCAGCCCTTTTCCTCCTCTTCAAACACAACTCGAGGCTCACTCTTGGCATTGTCTAATGAGCGGCCCAGGCCTCGCAAGAGCATCTATCCATACGGGCTTCGAAGAAGGAAGCCAGGATCAGCGAAAAATCCACCCCTGTTCCTTTTGGTTTTGCTGCTTCCTTTAGAAAACAAAAGATCCCTGGAAAGTCAGCTGGGATCGAAGGACCCTGTTGGCCCAAAGGACCTACCTCGTCTCGCACACCCTGTCCCAGTCCCGCGCTGGCACACACGAGCTGTTACGTTCATGCACGGCATATTCACAGAGCAAGGACAACCAGGTGCTGTGCCTGCCCACCTCTCTGGAGTTGTTTTAATGCCTGTCTGTAGCACGGGGAAATGAAATGGGAGCAGGAAACGGATTCCTTTCCTAGGTGCATCTCACAAGGCAGGCAGAGAGCAGAACTGAACTGAGCAGCAGTAAAACACAGAGCAAGGCATCGCCACCATTCACAAACCACGCTCGTAATCCCCGATGCTCCAGGAGCGCCGTGACACCCCGCCCTCAGCACTAGGTTCTGCTGCCAGAGTTACGGATGAGGTTTCACCATCACACACTCTTCCCTACCAAGGTAACTGCTAAGTGGTCGCGTCACCCTCTCTGGTCCACCTTCCCTGCACAACAGAAGGGCTGAGTCCGTCTTACTTCTCACTTCACGACCCTTTCTGTAGCCTCCACATCTCAACATCACGCTCCTAGTTTTACAAAGGGATTGTTTTTTTTTTTTTCCTGCTACCTTGAACAACTCAGAGCACAGCATTACCTGCAGGTACACAGCTTACGGGATGTCCATCGACTGCCAATTGAGAAGGAATTGGTCGCGTAGCTGTTGTACCGTCACTTCATAAGCATTCATTCCCAAACATGTGACTGGGGTCAGCTTTTGGACCCTCTGCCTCACTCTGAGGGTTCTTTTTTTAAAAGCAGTTTTCACTGTTTAAGATCCCACAAACAAAACCTGTTTATGGAAAAAGAGAGATATTTTGAATACTAAAGTCCTTTATTCAACAACACAGAAATATCACAAAAACAACTTTACTGGGCAAATTGAATGTTTTTATACAGTTTTGTACATGCCCCATAAGTGATTATTTTTTTTCATAAATACACTGTTTTCCAAAACCGTTTTTTTTTTTTTTTTCCATAATTGCACAAGCATACATACACCTTACACAAATATCTATTAGAAAATTTAATAGATAACTGCACAGTTCAGAAATAGGAGAACACTGTGAAAGGAGTACATTTCTGCGGCCCGTGTTTCTGAAAAAAAAACTCCTATAGTTCCCTGCAATTGTGGAAATTGAGTACTTTCTAACATAGGAGCTGTCTTTTATTCACTAAGAATACAGTAGAGCTCAGCGTGAAACTGCCAAATTTAATAAAAACAAAATCTGAAACATTTAGCTGTTACATGAGAACCCACTGTTTGATATCACTATGCATCTAACCATGATCAAAGACCCACTACTGCTTTTTGCTGAGTGTATTCGACCCTGAATGGTATGTTCATTTAACTACTTTCTTTCTTCATTATTTGATTACAGATATGGCCCATTTAAAAACTCGGTATTCTTTAACGTTAATTCCATGACTTACATACCAGGGGTTCTGCACGGAAGGGAGCATTTGCCCTCGTACGGAGGGTCTGTTATTAATTCACTGAACGGGTACACGTGCCTCCCTTTCAGCCTTACCATTTTTCCTACACGTTTATCTGGGGTATGCCAACAATGCTTCCATTAGCCTTAATGTTCACACCTAAAAGACTGCAAAATTGTGTTCTTTTTTTTTTTTTTTAACCTCTTTTTTGTGACGAGCGAATGAAAGAGGAGGACAAACTTTCATACTGGAAAATGTTCTTGGTCTTTGTGAAAAGCAAATTTGATTATTAGTACCTGAAAAAAAAAATTCTGATTTACAAATATGCATACAATGGGGGAGAGGGAAGGCCAGAAAAAGGATTTCCTTCTTTGAACATCACTAACCAAAACGCTCTATGTCCACTACATCACATAAATCTAAATGTGATGGTGTAAAGGAACAACATCCGAAATGAAAACCACGCGGGAAAATCAAAGAAAAATCAACTCTTGTTCGTTTTCAATAATTAACAGGTTTGCTTGTTGTTTTTGTTTGTTTTGTTTTAACAATTTTGAATTGACATGTAAAACACTACAATTACAATATACAGATCCATCAGTTTTTAAAAACAAAATGACAAAACAAAAAAAATAAAGCACATCAAGACATGCAACATTAGGGTATCAGACAGTAAGTACATTGCTATGAATATTCTTTGTACACCTAATGTAGCCTGAACTTAATTTTGTCTCTACTTCTGTAAGAGCGATCACAATTTTCCAAAAAGCAAGGCAAGCTTACCAGCCAGATGTGCAAATAAGGCTTCGGTTGATAAGTCAATCAGCATTTCGGTAGAGAAGACCTTACAGAGCTCGTATCGGCCTAGTGGTCAGCAACAGAGGCCCTAACCAAAAAGTCTCAAACACAAAAGAAATCCGTGCACAAACTCTACGGGGGGCACCGTGACAGAAGCATTTCGAGCATGGCGCTCCCGTTCCTGAAGCCATGGCACGGCGTCACACAACGCAATGACGTGGACATGAGCCCAGCCCGCCCGCGCTCCTCCGGGTACCGTGGCCCACCCCTGCCCTGCTGACACACGTGAGACCCCAGGAGGCTCCTCCTGGAGGACCTTGGCTCTCCGGAGTGGTCCCAAGAGCCGCCAGTCCCCAGAGCTCCCTCCCCTGACAACGCCGGCGTCCCCCCTCCCATGCAGGTCCCACACCGTGGTGCTCCCACCACCCCACGTGCTTCACCACATGAGGATGACCAGGGGTGCCAAGGCCTGAAGCGTTGAGCAAATAACAGAGAAAGTGCTGAAAGGAGAGGAGATTTGGACGGGCTGTGTGTCACTGGCCAAGTATTTCCATGCCCAGCACCTTTCTGTGACACTACTGGGAGTCCTGTCTTGTACAAAATGGCCAAGCTGTCAAGCACGTGGCACGACAGCCTTCGCTTAGTTTGACGGGACGGCCTTTCCACTCATGAGCGGTATGACGAAGCCAAGCAATAAAACGTGTTGATCAACTGGTATTGGGTATCCCTAAGTTTGGTATCCTCCTTATCTTTCACCACACGTGAGTTACAGCCCGCCGTGCGCTGCCTTGCCGGAGGGCAGACGGCGCTAGAGTGGGAAGAAGCCTGGCAGACCGTGCTGCTGGGGGCCTAAGGGACTGGTGCGACAGCAAAGCTAAGATCTGCGGACTGAGGAATGTGTGGGAAGAAGTGGTCTTTGCTTTTTGCAAATTAAAAAAAAAAAAAAGTTAATTTTTATACCGCAAAAACATCCAGGCTCTCAAATAACTGCAAGTGAGACCTGAACCGGTCCAATGATCAAAGATCGACTCCACTTGGACCAAAAGTATTGCATTCGGCTTTATGAAACATTTTCCCCATTGACTGAAAATTTTACATCAGAACCCACAGACGGAGGGTAATTTGGCCGAGTCATCGTCTATCCCAGGGGCTCGTACTCACTCTGTGTTGCATTCTAGAACAGACTTTGCACAGACGAGCGGTGTTGGATGGCCACCTAGGCTGGGCAATCCACCACACAGCACAGTGAAAAGTGGGTCGAACACCGTACAGCATTTTTTGAGGGAAAGCCCTCTGTAAAGCTCCTTTGGAAGCAATGCAAGTGCATAAACCACTACTCTAATATAGTGCTGGAAAGAGTAATCTGACATGTTATGTCTTCCCTTCTTACGACACCATGACGGCAGGTAATTGCTGGATGTGTCACAATCTGTTTGTCTTGGAAAACTTGGCATCAAGTCTCTACGGGAGGATGCATGGTAAAACAGTGCTGCTGTTGCTGCTGCTGCTGCTAAACAACTAGCAAAATAATCTTTAAAGCTAGGATTTATTGCTCCGGATTTAACTCGCAGAACCACACCGTTGTGTACAAACCGTTAATCTCCATAGATGCTCAGACATGATTGTCTCCTTGTGTCTAAACACACAAAATACAAGCGGCTATCTGTACAGTTTACAGTACTGAAACACATATATTTGAAAATGAAGTATAGATATGTTACTTTTCAAAGATACATGACTTTATAGCAGGGGTTTACCCAAACTTTTTTTTTTTTTTTTTTTACAGCCACTTTAAAAATAGACAACAACTTCACTAGTATAGCTAAGTTACATCAAAGAAAGAATCAGTGTACTGAATGTGAATAAGCCGGCCAATTCCCCAGGCTCCCAGATTTTTGTCTTTTGCTTTTGAGGAAACCCCTATACAGAAATGAAAATAGTATCTGAGTATATTCTTCAATGGTGGACTAAGCAGTTTCTTAAAACAAGACTTTAGCTTGCCATTCACTTCGGACTGCCTCGAAAATAAGATACACTACTGCTTAAAAGAACCATCGGAATGCTTCAGCGCTGGGAACAGGTGTTCTCTAAAAAAAAAGCAAGAAAACAAGTTAAGCTTTCTTTCGCGGCATTACAACACTCGATTTCTTCTACTTGTTCTTTCCCTTTACATTTCAGGCATACTTTCAGTTATCTAGGAACAGCACGATGCCTCACACAGCTCGACGATTCGTGGAGACGCGCACACGCCGCTTTAGGGTCACACGTGACGGGCGTGAGGTGGCATATAGCACACCTAACACGCGGTCTCCTTAGGTAGTCAAGCGAGGCATTCATGGAAACGCAAACATTGTTAGCAAAAACATCTCCTGGAAACCAGACAGAGCTTTTGGAGCAACCACACAACCTCGCCACGGTGCCTGGCCGCGTCCCGGCAGAGGGGATGCGGAGGCAGAGCGGGCCTGCCTTCAGGACCACTCCCTCCTTCCCCTGGCTGCCTTCCCCCCAAACGGTGTCCGCCTGAATTTGGGTGCCTCCGTGGGCACCTGAGCACAAGCCAATTCCTTTCACAGCTTTAAAGTACAACATGCATCAGAGGCAGAGGTGCTGAGCCTGCAAGGGCAGTGTCTGCGAGGTCCTGCTTGCCCTTCAAAGTCAGAAGCTGATGCCAGTGCCCTCCAAGCCCGTGCGTACAGACCCACGGCTCTCCTCCAGAGCTACTGACCAGGGAGGGAGCTGGGGCCAGCCCTGAGCTGACGCCGGATCAGCCAGCCTGGCTCATCCAGAGCTGCCCACCAGCAGCAGCAGCAGAGACCATCCTAAAAGCAAGACCCTGGGAAACCACACGCAAACACTCGCTGATTTTGCTGGTGGTGTTCACTGATACAACCACCCCCAAGGGCTGGAGTCTCCTTTGCGCCAGCCCCCGCTGCGTCCTGCGCGGTTGGTGAGGAAGCAGCAGCAGGAGTGAGCTCCCCAGGCACACCGAGGAGCGGCGGTGGCACAGCAGGGCTGTCCCCGCGGGTCGGCGCGGGCTGTAAGATGGCTGCTGAGCTCCAGCGAGGGATGCGGATTCATAATTCATAAGGAGGTCGGCTGCGGGAGAGGCTCGACTTCAGAGTGGTAGGAAGCAATCACACGCCTAAATTGATCTCGAAAGAGCAGCCAGACATGCAAATGTATTAAACTCAATATATTGTCTTCGCCTGAAAACTAAACGTAATGCTCCTCCGTGGGTCCATCTACCCAAACACAAAACCGCAGCTCGCTAGGCAGATTTAAAGGCATAGCAGCTGAGATGGCCTTTATTTATTTTCTTGCAGCATCAGGTCGAGTTACTGTCAGACGTTGTCATATCAGCTGGAAGGAAAGGTGCAGTGTCTGATTAAAAGGTCATTCAGACCTTTAAATACACGGAATCATATTTTTGAAGGGCAAGGCTGTGGTTTAAGATGGGTGCCTCTGAAAAACTACAAGATAAGGAATTCTGCATCGGCACGCTGAGCTCTAATTACAGATACGCATTTACAATGAAATATCCACTGCGCTAACCCCCTGTTTGGGAATGAATTATTAATCCACGCAAGAAAGCTTTCGAAAATGGGATAGGTGGCTCAAATTAAAGCAGACCCGATTTAACGAGGTGAAACCCTTAGATTTTGCCCCTGCAAAAGCCAAGGTTATTTCCAGACAAAAAGACAAAAAAGCCCCTTCAGCCTGTTCAGCAGCTCGGCACACCAACAGCCGGGCTCAAGTGCAGCCACCATCCACCGCCTGCATGCTTAAATTCGGGAGTCCCAGCTGGGGAATGAAGCTCTCAAGGAGATTACAGCGTGCTGCCGGCCCCGCGCGCTGCCGGCGGGGCGTCATTATCCTGAGTGACAGGGAAGACAGATTCCCCCGCACGTCGGGGAGGCAGGCGAGGAGCAGGACGGGAGCTGATCAGCATTGTTGAAGGCAGCCGTCGCTGCTCGCGCTGGTGCAAATGCTGACAAACGGCAGGCTGGCTCCCAGGAGGATGCTCAGAAACCCGTAATGCTGTAAAGCGCGGCGGGATGGAGAATTTATCCCTGCGCAAGCCCGGTGCCAAATGACTTTCTTGCTTTAAAACTTGCTATTGCACTCTCCTCTCGGCAGCGTTCGCCGGGACAGACGTTTGCTGCAGAAGGGGAAGGAGCAGCTCAGATGTCTGAAATCTGAAATTTTAATCGTCGCCTTGAAAAAATACACTTCGATAGAGAGCCGAGAGTGTTACATTTTGGGGTTTCATGAGGAGGTGAAAAAGGCAACCAGAACCAACAGAACAGGGAAAATCCCTTAAATTAAACAGCAGTGGAAAAATCATACACACACATCCATCACCAGAGGCTCATTTCAACAGCTGAGCCCTTCATTTTTACAGCACAAGTGTTCATTAAAGAACAACGCCTCCCAAACCTGCCGTGACCAATAACCCAGTGAACCCCACGGGGCCACCACGCTGGCACCAGGAGGCCCGCTCGCTTGCCCAGCTCAGTCCCAGCCCCAGCCTTCGCAATCTCAAGCCTACAAAATCTGCTGGAGATGCTCACGAGCCTCACGGCCTCCAGAAAGATTTGGTAGGTAGATGAGGAACCAGGAGAGCTAGCCACCCCTGCCAGGGATGCTGTTGCTTGGGGTGCACCCAAACCGACAGCTGCACAGAAAGAGGACTTTATCGCCTTCATCATTATTTTCTGTAGGGCTAGGGAATCACTTGGGTAGAGGTGAGCCGCATTCAGAAATAAAATAGAATAATAAAATACATCAGAGCGCTACATGATTATGGCCTAATACCTTACCAATGTTAAAAGACGCTGCATTATGTAAGACCCCTTTGATGTTTGATCCAAGAGCAAAAACCCTCATCTCACAGAAGCAAACTCACACACTGGCTACAGCAAATTATTTGGCAGATGTGGCACTCCTCATTCCTCTTCGTGAGTCCTGGCTGAAATGATCCAGACCCTTTGGGAAGTGTATTTTAGCTGAGGTATTTTCAAGATACGGGCTACCTGACTGTCTTTACCAAGACCTACACAAGCACAGAAATCGGTAGCACTGGGGGATCTTTGTTCTTACTGCATCCCAAATTCCAATGGCAACACAAAAGAAACTGGTGGATGTTCCTGTATTTCCCAAAGCACCCCGCAGGACTGGTGCTGGCTGCATAGGGAAAAACAACAATATGAAGGTCGACCTCACAAACCCTACATGAGTGTCTCAGCGTGGAGGACAATCCCTGCTTGCAAGCCCTTCCACAAGTGGAGGGAAGGAAGGCATGTAGGCCACAGGGTGTACAGCACGACATTTGGACCAGTAAGTTGTGTTTTTATGTATGTGTATACATATACAGACACGTGAATGCATATATGTGACAAATCGGCGACAGAGACATCCAGTGCTACATGACGGCTAAGGGGTTCAAGTGGGAAGTCGTGGTCCTTGCACAAAACGCAATCGGGATCGATCAGCAGCCCAAGAGCAGACACTGACCACCACTGGTCATAAACCAGTGACCGTATGCATTTTTAATACATTTGTGAATGCTGCCTGCAGAGCCTAACGCCCACAACCGCCGGAGAGGAGCTGGCCTCTCCTCCACACCACCAGCTGAGGAGGCTGCCATGCTGGAAATGGCGCTGCATAAAGGCACAGCCTACCTCACTCAGAAGCAGATTCTGGTGCTCCAAAACTCCCTTTCCATCCCCAAACCGCTCCCATTTCCCATTCTTTGCCTTGCAGCTGCACCGTGTGAGTACGGCCACAGCTGGCCCGCACCAAAATGGCGGCTCCGGGCCTCCTGACAGGCCGCCACACAGAGCCGCCTGCCACGGCGTCCTCGGCCCGCTTTGTTCCTCTCATAAATATACATCACCTACAGCGATGGCTGTGGGGAAAACCTCCCGGCCCACACAGAGTCTCCTTGAATGTCTTCCTCCAGGCAAGGAGCAAAAAGACGGCGTGGGCATCCCCCCGCCTCGTCCCCACTGGCAAGGCGGACACGGCCTGGCAGCAGACACTGTCTCCAGCCAAAATCTGCTCCCCATAGCCACGTTTTTGGGGGGTGACAGCCCTCTCTGAGCAGCCAGCAGATCAGTGGCCTCGATGGATAGAGACAGGGTCATGAACCCAGCAATGAGCTTGTTTCTGCAGCCCAAGCTAAAATATCTCTCGCCATACCTGAGCTGCGGGCCTGGCTCCCTTCAAACCAAAGGCAAGATTTAACATTTATTTTAAAAGTGGGTTTTATTTGCTCTGAGAGGACATGAATCCGCTTGCCGGCAGCTATTTTTCCACTCACACTGCGTATCTCCTGCGTCGTACTTGACACAAACCAGATTTAGCACATTCCAGGTTAGGAAACTCATTCGGCTTTCTCTGCCACCAACTGCACAACGCGAACAGCCCCGCTAGACGGGACACGGCAAGCCGGCTGGGACCTTGCTTCACAAACCCAGCTCCTCCCCAGCTGCCTCCTCGGAGATCAGCTCGAGAGGCTCCCATGGGGTAGCTGGATGCGTGCCCATGGCCACCGGGTGCTGAATCCCACTGCTGCTCGGGCTCAGCTCGGACAGGAGGGTGAGCCTGAGGAGCTGTGGGTTTCTCCACAGGAGAAAGAACGAGCAAACGCACCTCTCATTTACATGCAGCACATGCCAGAGTTTATTTTATATATTAACTTTTTTTTCGCTTTATATATGAGATTATATTCGAGGAACGGGTAAACAATTTCACTTTTCTGATCTAGAAAAAAAAAAGTACACCACCATTGGGGAAAACAGATGGCAAACACAGATCAGAAGCCATAAGGAATCCAGCCTAATCCTGCCGAAGGAAAACATCTTTGTCCCAGGCAGTGTTAGCGGCGGCACCAATGCCAGGACTGGCCACACCAGCAAAACCTCTCACACGCTCTGCAATCCGCCCCAAAATCCCCACGGGGACAGGCTGGGGCTCATGCACGCTGTAATGCAGCATTACTCCAGAGCCAGGGCTGATGCTAAGCAGGTCAGAAGAGCTGTCACTCAGTGAGCTCGTCCTGACGGCGGGGATTAGCATCAAATAGCCCGACATGTTAGCATAAAGCAGAAAGCTCTCTTACTGAGGGAAGTTTTGTAGAGAAATTCTTGGACAGCGGTTTGTTACCATCATGCAACACAAAACCCAAGGCACCACAATGCAAAAGAACACTACAAATTAAACATCCAGACCACTGCTCAGCTCCTGCTTTCACCTAGGACCTGGCTGGTGACTTCTGCAGGCTCTCCTCGGGCAGAGACAATCAGCCAGAAAAGCACCACACACGCTGTCAACCACCTTCTCCCTGATCAAATCCCCACAAAGACCATCCATCAGCCCCTACCACGGATCCACCCTGCACACGCAGTCTCGCAAGCCAGAATTATCCTTGTTAACATTCCCTCCATTAATGAGCAATCCCCACTGGTCCCTCACCCAGTGGTAGGAGCCTTTGCACGCACAGTCTGACAACTCTATCATCCGCGAAACGGCTGCTGCGGGCTATGGCAATCTCATACGGACTGGTCTCCAAACAGAGGGGAGGCATGTTTCTCGGCGCCAAACCTACGCTTAAATCTCTTTCCCCTAGAGCTGCTCTGCCTTCGGCATCTTTTTTCTCCTGCACAGAGCCTAGCGCTGGCTACGATGCCTCATTGGTTAGCTAACTGCTTCTGTCCTTCGGGATTTCTCATACGCTGTTGATAAAAGAGCCAGTGAAAAATATATCCATTAAATGCTTGGCCTCTGCTTGCTTGTTTCTCTGCAAATCCTTAAGAAAAAAAAAAAAAAAAAGGAAAGAAGGAAAAAAAAAGAAGAAAAAATGTACTCAAAGGCTGCATTCAGTAAGCTACCTGGGCTGGGAGGTATTTCCAGCCAACGCCTGAGACTTGCTGCAGGTCCTGGTTCCCTTCTTGCAGCCCGTGAGCACCATGGGCTGTCTGTCCGGACCGAAGGAGAGCAGCAGCAAGACAAACTCCTGTGCAGCGTGTCACCACAGCTCCCAACCGGAGGGAAGAGCTTTATGAGGCTGTGTGTGGCTCTGAGTCCCACTCATTCCCTGGTACGTCTTCTGAAATTTTCAAGGATGACAATTAAGACTCATCTCGGTGATTATTTTCACGACACCGTCAACTCTGCTGGACTTTGACCTGCAATTTATTTTACATCTGCTTTCAAGCAAACAGCCAATGGTGATCGCCGCCTCCTGGGACGGAGACGCTGGTGATTTAGAGAGAACAGCTTTTATGTCATTACCAAGCTCGTGCCACCAAGTCCTCTCCCACCCACTCCCTGGCGGCCAGCTACTCAGACCCATGACCCTTCCAAATATATTTTCTCCTCTTTTGCTTGCTCTGTAGCCAAACGGCCTCTGTTTGCTGGATAGCACTCATTTTGGAGTCCGCACACATAACAAAATCTGCTCCCTGACGCTCCTTCTCCACTTCTGATCCCTTCAATAGCACTGCGATAATCACGCTTTGCCCTCCCTTTATCTTCTGCGCTCTTCAGCTCCCTCCCACACACAATGTCTGCGGCCCCACCGGCAGCCAGGGCGTGCAGAGGGATGGATGTTACTCAAAAACATGAGGGGTATTTCTCTTGTGTTGATGGAGCAAATTCCTTGTGTTGACGTAGTGCAGACTGGCACACTGCTGGCGCACTCCGGCTTCCCTTGGACATGCAGTACGTGACACCTAAGAAGCCTCTAAGCCCGAGACGTCCTCATGCAACAAATCATCATTTTCAGCCCTTCACTGCTAGCGTTGCCTCCCTCTTTCACATTTGTCAGCTTGTCTGTACGTTTGCCTTCCTCGCTTCCTCGTCTCTGGAACAACTTGTTCGGATCACACAACTCCTCCCACCCCACATGCTCACCCGGCACCCAGATTCTCTCCATAAATTCTACTCGATTTAGAAAAAAAAATAATGAAAATGAATGAAAGAAACTTCCGTATCAATGAGAGCATGCGGAAAGCCCTGCTCACCCTCTTTAGGATCCCCTTCTGCTCTGCAAAGCCTTAGCCTTCCCTCGGAGAAGTTGTGGGAAGACAACTACCAGTGGGCTCTTCAGCTGCCGCGCCGGCACGATGAACGGCAAACCCGCTCGCTGCAGCAGCTGTAGTCTGCTTTCTTTGCACCACAGGAGGTCTCACCACCATTTCCAGCACCACCGCGTTGCAGCAGACCACCTCTGGTGCTCTGTCCACCCGCCCTACGGTGCCTGAGCAGCTCCAGCTGAGGAGCAGCACCCTCTTGTTGAGGCTTTGCTCATCCTCTCCAGCCCTGAGCTGCTCTTGGTTCCACCTCTGCTTGAGCACTCCGCGGCTGCTCTTTCCTCCTCACCTACTGTGTTCAGTGATCTCCATCCTGAACTCTGTAGGACTTCCCATAATTTTCCGGTGTTTATTAAGATCTTCCTTCTACCTCAATTTTTAATGCTGCTTCTGCACTTTCTAAACCACTGAATAACCCATTATTAGCTCCTAGTCAAATGAAGCCTGACACCAGCTAATAATGATCCTGTACAGAAATACAGCGGAGACCACAGCCAAGACAGCCTGGAAGTGAAAGGAACACTGTCCTGAGACAGGAGAGGAGCTACCTTTTAAAATGGCCATCTCTTGTGAGACTGAAATGAGGAAAGACACTATGCAGAGCAGAGGAAAGAATAAAGCTCTATGGTGGCTAGGGAACAGGCATTTGATGAGTTTGCTGCCCGCTCAGAACGCAGTATCCAGCACGACCCAGGCTGCTTTTATTCCTTTCAAGTTCTCGTATTTCACTCGGCAGTGTGGTATCTGGTTAAGTACAACGAGACTCTGGAAAACTGCAAAAAAATTCAATAGGCTTAACGCATACCTGGCTATGGATTTTTATGGTCTTAATTAAGAGGATGCCTAGGAGTTCCAGGGAGGAGAAAATATTTCCCATAATGTCTGAGAGTAGAAGTTAACAAGCCTGCTGGGATCTTTTTAGCCCCTGCAGAGCTAAGGCTTCAATATTATTAAATGGCTGTCGCATCTGAAGTATGGTGCAACATAACTCAACAAAGAACAGCACGCACGGGATGCTGAAATGGGGGATGACTCCAGATTACGCCACAGCGTAATTCAATTTCAGGACAGGTGTCTGCATGTGATTGCACATGATATGGCTGTGGAAAACAACAAGGGTACCCAAAAGAAGAGAAAAGAGACGCAGCAGGCTGGGCTCCCAAATAGCAAAGAGCATCAAGCCAAACAGCCTGCTTCAAGATGTGGTTCAGTATGATCATTCAGGGCAGATGAGCTTTCAACAAATACAGACACTACAGAAGCAAAGAAATGCTTTCTTCGGATGGTGGTGCACCTCAGGAAGCAAGGTATCTGCTGGCAGTTTTTAAGCACATAGTAGGTGACTTGGGAATTGTTAGCAACAGAGGCCAAGTCCCAGGGACTTCCTTACAGGGACACGAGTTACTTTCTCATTCCTCCTAACTCACTTGGGTACATCCGAAAGCTTATCCTAAGCCTTTCCCTGCACAATCAGCAGCTGCTTCCCCTCGCAAACAGTGATCAAAAGGATTAGGCAGTATTTGGTGAGGCTTCAGGGTGTACACTCTAGGTTTGCCTGCTTAGAAATATCTTATTCGCCAGCCAAACTCTTAAAACACATGCATGGGTAGAGCTGGAAAACTAGCAGCTGATACAAATTTTTAGGCTATTTGGAAAGCTCTTGTTCTCAGCCATTGCTAGGCATCAAGCGCATGACACAGAGTACTGAAATTAGTATCTCTATTTTATTGAACTGCCTGGAGTTCAAATGAAACAAAAATGTAGTACCAAGATGTTGCTATTCAAAAGGGATCATTTTCTGACATCCTAATTCATTCCCCAGCCAAGCTCAGTCTTCCCTGACTTCAGTAATGGTGTTAGGTGTCAACCTAGCAAGCAGACCTGCATGGAAAGTGGCCCAACAAAGCAGTAACGTCAACACACACACACAGCCAAACAAAAATTGGGACTGTTGTGTTGAACTGCCGCTATATGGTTACCCACCCTGAATGAGCAGTACCCAACACCGTGTTCAAGTATCCACTGGCTTAAATGTCTCCTCGCTTGAGGAAGGCATGGGGAATACAGCCCACAGCCCTTGGTACAAACAGCATTGGTAAGATTCTCCAAAAGTGCCGTAGCTGACACAGGGGTCCAAGTCATGCTGGCTTCTGTGCTCCTCAGATTGAAATAAAAATTCCAAAGAGACTTGGGTAAGACAGAAAGACAGAGACAAGAAAGAAAGAAAGAAAGAAAGAAAGAAAGAAAGAAAGAAAGAAAGAAAGACAGAGACAAGAAAGAAAGAAAGAAAGAAAGAGAGAAAGAGAGAAAGAGAGAAAGAGAGAAAGAGAGAAAGAGAGAAAGAGAGAAAGAGAGAAAGAGAGAGCCCATTATGCTTATTGCTGCTCTAGAAAAAGCTCTACCTTCATTCATCATATTTCTCATGACACATGCCACTTGTCCAGCCTAAACAATGCTCATCGATTTCATTATGTCGACTGAAAAATGAGACAAATGAATCAGTGACAACACTGGGCAAAGAACGAAGTTTGGCGCAGCATCCTGGAACCCCACTGCACAGCCTGTATTGGTACGGAGGAAAATGTGCAAAGAAGTGCTCAGTGCAGTCAGAGCACAGCACTGCCATAACCGGTTAACCTCCCTTACCATATGGACAATTTCCCTGGCAAACAATCACAGTTCAATGATTTAAAGCAAGCAAGTTCCAATGCACGTAGAAAGCAGTGTTTGTATGGAAGAGGCTGCTCAACCCTTGACTGGTCTACAATTTTTGCTGAATTAATTAATTTCTGTTCAGTTTAGTCCCAGATCCCAGCACTAAGAGAGTGATCTTCATTTGGGAGGGACTTCATGTGGAACAAAAAAATGCGCCTTTTGTCCCCCTTTCACAAAACACAGATGCTATTGCACGGTATCAACCAGCAGTTTCCACGAGGTGCATTTGGGATTGAACACAGCTATCGTCACGTGGCTGGGGCAGCTCCTCTGCTCTGTAAGCATCACACGGAGAAGGGGAAACAACAAAACACGAAGGAGCAAAACGGGCTACATCCGTCTCCGTTTCAGAGGATCCCCCTTGAGCTAGGTTTTTCAGGCTCGCTCATCTGCCAGAGCCGTAGGCAGACCACGAGCTCAGCTCTGCAGGGCCCTCAGGGCTTCCCTCAGTCACACGTCTCCCATTGACTGCAGCGCCAAGCCTTGCGAGATGTGGTCCCACAGCAGAAGGTCAAACAGCGTCCACGAGTGCTCCAAGAGGCAGAGGTCAGGGCATGGAGAGCACGGCAGCGAGAGGCCTTGTGGCATGGAGCCGTCCCTGGGGACCCCCAGAGGTCAAATGGAAAACTCAGCGCACAAAACATGTTTAGTGGGGGGAAATATCTTCTTCCAAGGCCCCCAAAAACTGATGCCTAGCCACAGAGCCCTGTGGCAGCCCACCCAACCTGGCCTCGCTGTCCCGTGACCAGGCCGCGTGGTGGTAAGATGGCCAGGGCCGGGCGCCGCTTCTGTGGAAACCAACCCCCAGGGAAGGATCCCAAATTCCCTCGAAATGCGACTCGGTGAGGTGCCTCGGTGGGATCTGGAGGCTGGTATTTGGGGTGTGTGTGTGGGGGCTGGTATTTCAGGTCGGTACTGAACCGTGCAGACCCTGCCGCCGTGAGCCAGCCCCTCCGCCTGCTTTCGCTACCGCGCTAATGGAAATGAGGACCTGAAAAACCACCCGAGTCAGGGTGGGTTCCTTCAAAGAGTCGTATCTGGCTCCTGATCCTCCTAACCTGCTGCAGAAGTTACAGACGCGTACGCCCATCAGAGGAAAATAAGTAGTCTCCACGGGTGAATAAAGATTATGCCTCTTTAAACCAACTGTAAATCTGCATGAAGACAGAATATACATACACAAGTAGGCAGCGTGCAACGTGACGTCAATCTTAGTTTTAGAGATTTATTATTACCATACATAAAATTTCCTAGTAATAATAACATTCTATGTAAAATACTAGAGCATTGGGACACTTTGAGGGTGAAAACGGTACAAGAAAAATAGGAAAAAGTAGTTCTGGTCTTTAAAAAAAAATGCTGGGAGGGAAGCACTCCATTAAAAATGTACGGGTCGGGGACTGGAACGTATTAACGTGAATCTGTCTTACACTCGGTGTAGTAACCTTGAGAATTGTATCGTAGGCCTTCGTTGCAGCAGCAGGAGAACAGATTTAAAGGAAAAAAGAGAGAGATGCTTGCAGTGGGATCAATCAGTTTGCTGTTTATTGTTATTATTCTTGTTTCCCGTTTATTTCGCTTTTGAGCACAGTTCCGCCCCTGATTTGAACCCTCTCCATGACTCGCAGCCGACGTCGAGCCCAACTCTCACGTCCTACGAACGCGCCACCCGCGGACACCCCTTCCTCCATCCTCGCTGCATTCCCTCGGGACCGTGCCTATGCAGATGACAAGGGATCGCCAGAGCAGCCCTGTTGGCTCCCCAGGGCCGCAGGATGAAGGAGGCTGAGATGCCCACGCAGTCGGGGAACCCACCACAGCCCCTGCCTTGGCTCGGCCCTGTTGGCCCCGCCGCTCCTGACCACGAGGCCAGCGCCGCGCTGCCACACGCGGCCTTAGCAGTGACACTGCCACGTGTCGTTACTCCATTAGAGGAAAGAAAGAAGCAGAAATAGGAGAAACAACCGAAAAGGGAAAGTTGCTCTGCTTGGGAACTCCTCCTGGCCTACGGATGCTCCTGCAAGGAGGCGAGCCGCGTCCTGTGGCACGCTTTGGGGCCGGCCACGGCCTGCAGTGGGGTGATGCCCTGCTGACTCCTCCACAGTGGGAACCGAGAGAGAAGTCCCGGCCCAGCAGCAGAGGAGCTTGTGTGTGTTTATCCGTCTGACAGAGCGCAAACGGGGCGGGGAGAAAGCCAAGAGAAGACGCGAAGGCAGGTGGTTATGAGAGTACACAAGTGGCTAATAAAAGCAGGGTTTTTACTAGTCGCAGCGGTTAAACAATTTTAATGGGCGGCATTCTCATAACACGCCTGAGCGGCTTTTAAGGCTGCCAAACACCTCTGTCAGGAGCGAGGAAGTTCTGGAGATGCACGCTGAGGCGCGCGCAAGCCCATCGGAAGATCTGATAGCGTGCAAACGCGCCTCTCCCAGAGATAGCTCACTTTCTGCACAAATCGATCAGCCATCAGAAGCTGCCATTTATCACCCCCCTTAAGCCCCAGCAGCACCCAGGCTGGCGAGAGGCCCGCGGGGCTGCTCCACACCTCTCGCCAGAGAAAACTCGTTTGGGCTGTGCTCGGTACAATAGTCCATCGGGATCAGACCGGGGTACTACGCGTCTTCTTGGCAAACTTTCTACAAAAGCAATCACGGTGTGTGTGTAATTGAGATAAACCACGGGTTGCTAACCCCGTCCAGCACCCGGAGGGTCCGCACTGGGCTGGAGGTCAGTGATGCCGGGCCCTCACACATGCACAAAACCCACCAAGAGGATGCAGAGCTACAAACTTCCAGCAAGGAGAGGCCGCTCTTGCAAAGGAGGAAATTCATCCGTTATTCTGATGAGGCCGGCCTCAAAAGAGTTAATGCCATCGGCCAAACGTCACTCACAACCCCAGCGCTGCCTTCGTCCCAGCGTAGTGCCACTGTCTGCGGGTGGGCTCTCGCTGCTGCTCCCCCCGGGGCCCTCACCCCACCTCTGCTCCTGCGAGCAGTGAGCGGGGCACCAGCCGCCCCATGCACATGGGGACAGGGGAAGGAGTTGTGACTTCTCACTGAGTTGCTAATTCCTGCGACTACAAATCTCGATGTCACCCCGTGTGCACCGCTCCTCTGTACTAAATCCATCATCCTCGACACCTCCAGACACATCTGATGCATGCACCTCGCCAGCGACACTGTAATTTTAATAATGACAAGGGATTAAGTGTGATTGCTAGGCTCTCCCCTCGCTTGTTTCCTTTGCCTACCGCCATCAACCACCAGCCGTGTTGGGTGCAGCGGGGCGCTTTGCCTTCCATTGTCTGCAGGGCTCGGGTACGGTCCCCGAAATTTCTGCGCCGTCGAAGCTGCCTGCACGCCTAGCACACTCGACAGCCTGTCTTTAGGGCCGGGGAGCATTCAGTAACGCATCGTCAGGTCCGAGGGCACGGCGTAAGAGAGGCGTGGGTGCAGTCCGGCCAGAAGCCTGCGCTGTATCCGTGTGTCCCCCCCCACCCCAGCGCTGTGCATCGCACCCGGCCGCCCTTCTCCCCACCGCCCCGCCACCACCGCCACCAGGAGAAAGAAAAGCCACCAACGAAAAGGCGAAGCAAAGCAAAACGGCTCGGCGCAAACCGAAAAGGAGAGAGAAAGAGAGAGAGGAAAAGCCGGAGAGGAGAGCCCGGAGCCAGCCACCGGTGTCGGAGCACGGCCGGGCCGGGCGAGCGCTGTCCCCGTGCGGCGGGGGGAGAGGAGAGGGGGGCGCGGAGCCGCCTCGGGCTCCCCGGCTCGGGGCCGGGAGCGGGGCCGGGGCCGGGCGGCGCAGGGGGGGCGCCGGGGCCGGGGCCGGGGCCGGGGCCGGGGGAGGGGGGGGGGGAACCCTCAGAGCCTGAAGGAGGCCTCGGAAAAGGGGTGCTGCATCTTGAAGCTAGACAAGAAGCACTGCAGGGGCGGGGGCAGGGGGTTGAGGAGGGACGGCGGGAGGCTGGGGAAAAAGAAATCATCTCCTCTGACCTCTAGCGAAGTGCCCGGTTTTTTCTTAAGCTCTTCACATTTCCTAAACTTGCAGATCTGGTGTCCCGTTTTGCGGTTCCTGCAACTGCTGCAGACTCCACAGTTGATGAGCCGCTTGCAGGGCACGCACACCCCGCAGCGTTTCCGCTTCTTCTTGGCGGGGTTCCCCGCCCCGGCCCCGGCCCCACCGCCACCGCCGCTCCCCCCTCCTCCACCTCCTCCTCCTCCTCCTCCTCCTCCTCCTCCGCCGCCGCCTCCCCCGCCGCCCCCCGCCCCGGCGGCGGCGCCCAGGGCGGAGGCGGGGGCGGCCGAGGCGTGGCTCTGCGGGCAGTCCGCCAGGTTGGCGATCTGGAAGGCGCTGTCGGTGACGGCGGCCGAGGCGGCGGCTGGGGAGTGCAGGGCCGTCATGACGATCACCCCCGGCGGCAGCGAGAGGCCGCCCAGCGCCGGGATGGCCGAGAAGGTGCCGACACGCTCGGGGAGGTTCATGAGGTCGGCTTCGGCCGCGCCGCACTTGAGCTTGTTCATGCACTCGCCCGCCAGCGGCCGGCAGTGCTCGGGGGCCAGGCTGGAGAGGAAATTGTTGTTGGCCATGGGCAGCGCCGGCTGCTCGCCCGGGGCGCAGCCCGGCTTGCCCAGGCGCTGCGAGTCGCTCCGGTGGTGCATGCTGCCCCTGCCGGCGTGCAGCGAGGCGGCGGCGGCGGCGGCGGCCGAGGAGGAGGAGGAGGAGGAGGAGGAGGAGGAAGAGGAGGAGGAGGAAGGCTTCCTCGCCGCGCCGCCGCCGCCAGCGCCGCCGCTGCCCCAGAGCATGGCGGTGGCGGCGGCGGCGGTGGCGGTGTCGCAGTTCCAGGGGGACATCCCGATGCGGGCGGCGGCGGCGGCGGCGGCGCTGGGGAAGATGGGGGTGGTGATGCGGGCGATTTTGGCCGCCTGCGGGAAGGCGCCGCCGTTGGTCTTGTAGAAGGTGGCGAAGGAGCGGTACCTCTCCATCTCCGAGTTGTAATCCACAAGGCTGTTGAGGGCCCCCTCGGGCAGGTGGCTGTCCTTGGGCAGCCCCGGCGCCTCGGGGTTGGGGCCGCTCTCCACGCACACGTTGGTGTTCATGGTGGCGGCGGGCAGGGGGGCCGGGGGGCTCAGTCCTCCGCAGGGCGCGTCCCCGCCGACGCCGAGCGGCCGGGCAGCCGCGCCCGCTGCATCCTCACGGGAGCCGCCGCAGCTGAAACACACAAAGTCGGTTCCCAGAGGGGGGGCCGGGGGGCGCCGGGACCCCCGGCTTCACCCCCGGGCGAGCCCCCTCACCCCCGCACCCCGGGGCGAGCCCCCAGCCCCAGCCCCGCTCTGCGGGCCGGGACGAGTCCCGCGAAAAGTCCGCCGTGGGGGGCAGAGGGGGCTGCCCACCTACCATCGGAAAACAGAATAAAAAAAGGGAAAAAAATAAAATCGAAAGGCACAAGGAGGAGGAAGGGGGAGGGAGCCGCCAGCTGCCACCGTGTCCTTCTGCGCCCGGCGGTCATTAGCTGCCTGCCGGCACAGCTGGCTCCGGGGGGGCAGCTCGCTCCCTCCCCGCCTGGGGGGGGGGGGGGGGGGTGCAGGGAAAGCGGCTGGGTTTGGGAAAGAAAAAAAAGAAAGAGAAAAAAAAATATATCGTAATAATACTACTTAAGCCAGGCAATTTCACAGCGTGTGATCTCGGCGCCTGCAGCTGTGCACAAGCCGGAGGGCTCTCCCCCAGCTCCCCGCCGGGGGGGGGGGGGGGCCGGGCAGCCCCTGCCGCAGGCACTGCGGGCCCCGGGGGGGCTGCGCCGGGCGTGCAGGCGGGGACGAGCCGGCAGGGGTCGGCGCTTTCCCCGCCGGGCAGGGGCTGCCCATCCCCGGCGATTTTGGCAAAGTTTCGGAGGGGGCGAGGGGGCCGTGTCCCCCCCCGTACCCCCTCCCCGCAAGGCCGGCGGCGGCGGTGGGGGGGGGGTTGGGGGGGGTCAGCCGGGAGCCAGGCGGATTATGGCAGCCTGCGAGAAGTGAGGCGAAACATCCGCGGAACTTAAAAAGCCCCCGGTGGAGGAACACTGGCTCTTTGTTTTCCAGCTGCTGTTACCTGCACAGTTTAGGCATTTCTAGCATCTTTTCCCGATGGACGGCGATCGATCGGAAGCGGTCGCTTCAGGGCCGCTAATGGGGCCGCGTCTCGTTCCCAGACGCCGGTACGTTGGGTTCAAAACGGTTATCAATTACGGTAATTACGATCATAATTAGATTAATGAACCGTTCCGAGCCCGACCTCCCGAGCGCGCAAACTTCATCTCCCCCCGCTGCCGCGCAGCGCCGGGGGGGCTCCGGGTGAGCCGGGGGCAGGGGAAGGGGCGAGAAACCTCAACCCCAAAAGGTTTGGGAGGAGGGAGCCCCCCTCGGGCCCCCCCCAAAAGGGAAGCAGCGAGACGATATCTCCCTCCCCGGAGGTCTGGCGGCCGTACAAAGGCTGCCCCGGCGAGCTGCCGAGGGTCGGCGGGGCTGGCAGAGCGCCCCCCACCCCTACCCTATACCCCCATTTCCAGAAAGGGGGAAAAAAATAAAAATAAAAATAATCAGAATAAGAAAAAAGCCGCACGGCCTCGGTGCCAACTCCTCGCTCCAACTAGTTCTGGGAAGGGAACCCCCGCATCGCATCGGGCGAGCATCGACAGCCCGATCCTCCTCCTCCTCCTCCTCCTCCTCCTCCTCCTCCTGCCCCGTCCCCCCCCGGCCGCCCCCTCCCGGCACAAGGGGGGTGCCCCCGGCCGCGGGGTCCCCGCTCCCCCCCCGGCACCGCACCGCAGCCCTCGGGCGAGCTAAAGAAATGGCAATCGCTGCCCCGGCTTCTCCATTGCGCTCCGGCCTCAGCCAAATGCGACCGTACATGTGCAATATTGCATGTCTGGTCTGGCGAAGACAGGGAGATCAAAGGTCATATTTAGCATTCAGGAGGAGGGGCGGGTGCAGATTAATTAATAAATTAATATCGCGGCGCCTTTTATTGCCCCAGCCTAGCGTTAATCTACTTTTGCGATCCCAGAGGGCGAGAACAAAACAAAATAAATTAAAAAAAAAAAAAAAAAGGAGAGAGAAAACAAAAAAACCTCCCCCCCGAAAAACACACACACACACACAAAATAAATTAATAAAAGAAAACCCACCCCCTAAAAAAAAATACGGAGAAGGGGGGAGGGAGAAAGGAAAAAAAAAAAAATCAAACCAGTCACTTACCAGGCTCTTTATTTGGGGGGGCTTGGATTTGCAGACGCTACCAGCCTGCCTGCCTTTAATTAGTTGCACATCAGTCCCTAACACAAAGAAGAAGAAGAAGGAGAAGAAGAAGAAAATCTCCAGATGTGCCTTGGCAGCTCCTCAATTACAACTTTGCTACTTGTAAACAAACTGCGAGGGGCGGCGGGGAGGGGTGCAAGGATGGAGGGGGGGGGGGGGTTGGAAATAAATAAATCCGCCGCTCCGCCGAACAAAATACCTGCGAGTGGCTTTTTTTCCCCCTCTCTCTCTCCCTCTCTCTCTCTCTCTCCGTCTCGTTGCAGAGAAAGGAGGAGGAGGAGGAGGAGGGGGAGGCGGCGGGGGGCGAGGAAGGAGCAGGCACCGAGGGAGTGTGCGTGAGTGTGTGTGTGTGCGCGCTGTGTGCGCTGTGTGTGCGCCGCGCTGCTCGCCGCCGTGTGCGAGGGCGGGCGGGAGCCTCCCGCTGCCTCCCCTCGCCGGGGGTGGGCGGCGGGGGTGGGAGGCGACGGTGGTGGCGGTGCTGGAGGCGGTGGTGGCGGTGGTGGTGGCGGTGGTGGCGGTGGAGGCGACCGCCGCCGAGGTGAGCGGGCGGGGAAGGACGCGGCGCTGCGGGCACCCGGCGCGGTGCCGCCGCCGAGGGGCGCGCACGGGCCGCGGCCCCTGCCCGAGGCTCCGGGAGGCTCCGGGAGGCTCCGTGCTGCCCTGCCCGCCTGGATCCTGCCCTGCCCGCCTGGATCCTGCCCTGCCCGCCTCGCTCCTGCCCTGCCCGCCCGGCTCCTGCCCTTTTCTCAGCTCCCCGGCAAAGCCACGCCGCCGCCGAAGTTGCTCCGCAGCCGCCAGCCCTCCTCGCGGACCCCGTTCCTCATCGCGCACCCCCTTGCTGCCCCCCTTCCCCACCTTCGTTGCCCGTTGAAGCGAACGGCTGGGAATTAAGGATGCTCCGCCAGCCCTGCTGGAAGCGGTCTCCGAAAAGCCCAGGCCCCCGGCGCGACGTGGGGATGCTCGCAAGGCTCCTGGCGGCGCACCGCACGCCTCCGTGCTCCGCTGCGAGCGCACGGCCTCCCCTCCAACAATTCCGACAAAAACTAAGTGCAGAAACATCCCCACCTGTCTTCCGAGGAGTTCTTGCGAGGGACTGGGCTCGTCGAATAAATTATGCACCGCGAGTTATTCGCCCAGCTCCTCTCGGCACCTCCACGCAGAGCCTAAGAAGCATTGCCGCAGCCAGCTGCCGCGAGCGCAGGCACCGAGCGGTTAATAAATGGATGTCTCTGTCAGAGGAATCATCTCAGCCCTCTGTAAATTACAGAAAGGGAAGGGAAAGTCGTACCGTTTGATTGGCTTTATATGTGTAAGTGAACGAAAGCCTTATTTACAGATGGCAGTTTTATTTCTTCCCACCCCGGGTTGAGATCGAGCTCGGCATCCTCGGCGTTAGGGGGCTGCATTTGGGAAAGTGGCACGTGCCCGGGAACTTTCTCCCAGGAGTAGCCACGAGATGTGAATCTCAGCCCAGGGCTTTTGCGAGGGCTCGTGGTTAATTACTCCAGCAATTAAGAGAAGCTCAGACCGAACACGGACAGCCACGGTCGATCGCAGGTCCCTGAGAAGCCGCGGCATTCTGGATCAGCACGCTTTGGAACCAGCACAGTTTATCAACCCGGTAACCTGCCTCTACTCACACCGTGTGCCTTTTAAAACACCCCCAAACAGGTATTAAGATAATAAAGCGCAACCTTCCAAGGAGCTCGCACGATCCCTTAGGACGATTCTTTCAGGAAAAACTTTTGGGAAAAACTATCAAAGAGGCGAAGCGATGTTTTGGTAATGTCACAAAGTGGCAAAAGCCAAGGGCTTTTCTTGCTGAGGTTCATCCCCACCACTTTTCTCCCCAGTTAGCTGTCAAATGCCATTTGCAATACTCCAAACACTCGAGACATTTTTCAAACACAGCATCCTCCTGAAACTGCAAATTTCCTTTAATCACAGCCTTAGCCTCACTTAAGCAATCCTTTCCGAGTTAATTTATTACTCTCAAGGAGTTACATTTTTAATAACCTAAAGGAGGAAAAGGGAAAAAAACTCTGATAATCTTTCCTCATGCATAAGGAAGGACGTTTCATGTATTTTTTAATTGTCATGTGAGTTAGGTCGCAGTGCTATATATAATCTATCTGCTCCGGCTTGGAAAACTTGCAGGCTTCTCCAGAGTCTGGGAAGAAGTGTGGAATTCAGTTTGGACGGGCTTCCTCCGAAACCTTCTGGCCAGAAAAGGTTTTTTGTTTTGTTCTCTTCTCAGATACGAATCTGCTTTATCCTGCAGTCTGCCCCCAGCCCGAGAGCTTCGGAGGACTGGAAGAGTGGAAAATGTACAGGTGTTTATCGGCCGAGCGGCCAACATTCCAGCCACAACTTTCTCACGATGAGTCTTAAGAAAGCAGTTCCAGATTGTCCTTTTCACCATAATCCCCGCTTTGATGGGAGGGACAGAAAGTTAAGAATCGCAGGCTCTGTTTTTCATCCAGAGACCATGGCTATTTCGTTTCTAGCAGGAATGCAGAGCGAGCGATATGTTGCAACACAGCGAGCACAGGAGCTGCCCTGCCTTTGTAAATATTGAGGTTGTTCAGAAAGAAACTTGCAAAAAAAATAAAAGAAAACCGAAATTCATTTTTTCTGTTCTTGCTCACTCGGTGTCTAGCTCTTGTGCCTATCCACAAAGTGGCCATCGTAACCCTATCCCGATCCACTAAGAAAAAGGGGGGAGCTGGGGGTGAGGCAATCCCCTGGCGAAGACAGCAGCTCATAAGAGACTGCTGGCTGGCTCTTTTTTGCTTATCTTCTCTCAGCGTGCCAACTCCCTGAGGCTCCCAAAGCCCACAGACCCCACGGCAGGGCTGGCTTCTGGCCCGGCTGCTGTTCTGGTGCTCCCTTCCACCAGAGCCAGCTGCCCTAAGTGGTCCCCGACAGCGTGTGCCCAGCCAACGCTGCGGGAGGGCTGGGGACCAGCAAAGTACTTGCTCCTGCTCCCCTCGCGTTGCCTTTGGAAGATCTCCCAGCTTACACTCGGGACTGGCTGATTTTCATTCAGGAGCACAACAGCAGCGTACCTGCATGCCCTTAGGGACAGTGGTTCGCCTCTGTGACTTCTGGCAGCACCGGGCACCCGTGCTCCTTCCTCTGTTGATGCCCACCTCTCCGCTGGTGTGTGTGCACCACCCCTCCTTCTGGCCACAGCCAGGGACCCTCTCTTGTGTGCAGCTCCCTCGTGCCCACCCCTGCTGCTTTAATCCACCCCATCCCGGCGCCTCGCGCACTGCCAGCTGCCGCACGGAAAGGGAAGGAAAGGCCAGACATGAGCTTGTCTTTGTGTGCTGCAGGGAAAAAAAAAAGCACCTGAGAACTGCAGTAACGCATAATCTGCTAGCGAAAATAAGGTTAAAACCATCCCTTAAAATGCCTTGCTTATCATCCAGTATTAGTGAAAGCTGCTCTCCTCGTTTGTGTTTGAAGGGAAACGCGGTGATTACCCCCTGCTACAGACACCTACAAATATTTACTAAAATAATGTAGCAGAGCGCTTTTTTAAAGAAGTTGACAGAGCCTCACCACCCCGAATCTGGCTGGATTCTGCTCCGAGCACGGCCACTTCCTTGCTGCTTCCCAGGCAGGCGTCCAGGTTGCTGATCTCCAATTATGCCGGCTCCCAGAGGGCTCGATCCTTCGCCGCTGTGAGTCAATGGAGCTCGATGGAGCGCTGCCAGCTCACGCGGGCTGAGTTACAGCAGCACCCGGACAAAACAAAACCCACGCTCACCCTCGTGGTCCCGGCGCTGGGATCCTCGCAGACCGAGAGCCCTGAAACCTGTGTCCGAGGAGCCAGCTGCAGAAAACACCTGGGAGGGCGAGGGCTGTGCTCAGACCACCTCAGTGCTTCCAGATGTCTCCGCTCCGCTCACGATGGCCCACCCGCCGGTGCCACGGTTTCATTTCTTAATTGCTTCTGCTCGCTGATTCCGAAAAAAAGCTGCCCTTTATCGGGGAGGTGGAGTGGCTTTTGCCTTGCGGATGCTGTAGGAATCTAAATGCCGTGGCAGAAGCGGTGTGCCAGCAGCTTGCCAGGGGTCTAGGACACGCAGCGAGCGGGGACTTGCTCTCCTGATCGGCTCTGGGGCTCCTTTGTGCTCTTATTTGTGCTCTTGGGGCTTGCATCTTCCCAGGAAACTATGAGAAAAGTTTGTTCCAATCCTGCTAGTCAAGAATGCCTGACAGTTCGGGATATCTCTATTTTTTTTCTTCCAAGCCCTGATTTCAGGTACTTCTCAGTTAGTCAAGCTTCACCTCTTTGGACTAAGAGTTCCCTGTTCGAGTGCTACGCGTTCTCTAAAACTGTTCAGCTGGTTTCCAGACTTGGCTCGTAGCAAATGCACTTGCCATGCTAAAATCATAGCTCCTGAAGAGCTGCTGTTCTAAGGAGCTCTGATACCTTTGCACTTGGAAGCAGATGCTTGAAATTTGGTCATTGTAAACGCATCTCATCCAGCCAAATTACACACGTCTCTCAGCTATAAGAAAAACACCTTAGTTCACATGTAGGAGAACTGGTAGAAATAACCACAGGTAACATCTCTGGGGTGTGTTTTTTTTAACTACACTTTGATAAAATTCCCTCTGCAAATGCATTTCCTGCATACTGGCAGTGGTGAAAGGTAAGCAGCTGTGACGGAGCATTCAAATGTGTGATGTCTTCTAGCAAGTTATCAAAACAAACATGATCCCACTTCCAGCCTGTGGAGACAGACCCACCAATGTTGGAGAAGGACGCAGGCACCGTAGAGAGAACCCACAGAAATTTTGAAATTGGGATGTGTGGAGATGGGGCCTATTCCAGATGCTGTAAGAGCATTTGGGTTGAAACCAAAACAGTAAGCAAGCCCCATGAAACAACAAAAGGAAAGTCTAGTGTCTGCCTAAGGAGAATACCACAGGAAGGGAGATTTTGAATGAGATCCTACTCCAGAGAAATACTTTCTCTGTAGTTGTGACGTTGCATGGCTTTGGCCACTTTCTCACTGAACTAGCCAGACTCTGTTATCATCTCAACTCTCAGGCTGCAACAAAAGGCACGTGTATATTTACTATCTGGCTCTGTAAATGCCTTGCTCCCTTCATCTGTTGTCACACTGTTGCTGCTAAAGACGCAGACTCATCTGGAATAAGCTTATGTTTTTCAAATACTTGATTTCACACAACACTGTTATTTATGGTTAAGGCTTCGTTGGGAAGAATGACAATCAATCATGACTCAAAGGCGGTGTCAGTGCCAAAAGCAGTCCTACCCTCCTAAAGGCCACCATTCTGACTTGCAATAAGCACCAGCACGCATGGTCATTTCCCTTACCGTCCCCTGAGGTCATGTTAATCAGCCTCCAGCTTTTCTGTCAGAAGGCATAAAAATGGGACTCTGCATGCTGCACGGGTAGGGCTGACGGATAATCACCTACCGATGTCCCCAGAACTCGTTTCTTTCTGACCTCAGAGGTATTGCAGGGGCCCACGGATGAGTAACGGTGTGGAGGCCAGTTGGCCACTCCACATCAGGTGGTTTAAGAGATGCTGCAGGTAGCTGGATGCCGACAGCACGCTGTCTGTCATCTAGATGACTGCAATTAATCATCTCCTTTCCGAGGCGGGACATTCAGCAGCAGGTATCATCTCACAGAAATGGAACTGCTGCGTTTCAGATCCTGCTGGCTTCCACAAGCTTGTGACTGCCACCCCAGCTCCCCGAATGCCTTTCAGCATTCACCTACTCACCAGTGCGACCCCAGGGGCTGGAGAAAGTGGATGCCAGGAAAGGGAGACGAAACCCCAGATGCCAGCAGGTGGTCAGAGGAACACATCCTTAGAACAGCGACAAAATGCGAGCTCCTGGACCTGTGAGGGAGGACAAGAAAGGCACGCATTGAAAAGCGAACAGGAAAAGCTGGTAAAAGCAGTGGAAGAGAGACGGATAAAATATGTGGTGAGGAGTTCACAAGAAAATTAGGGCAGAACAATACACAGGAGGCGCCAGGAGGGACGTACGCAAACTTCCTGGTTTCAACAGGACAGCTCTCCTTTCTCACACAGTGCAGTCCCGTCCAGGTGTGCTGTCACAGAAAGGTTTTAAGCTGCAATCCTAAACCAGCGAGAGCCGTTCTGAGGGCAGCCGGTGCTGCAGGGCCCAGGCGAGCTGCCGGGGGAAGCCCTCTCACCTCTCCCCCACGGCTGGCGTGCCAGCAGATTCCCTGCACAGCATCCCGCCTGCTCGGAGCGGCGATTCCCTTTCAGCTCCTGCTTCCTGGGTGTAATATATCCCCCGTGAGCAGACACACACCTGTTTTATGCTGCGGCTGCCCAACGCACGAAACGAGGCCCCGAGTAGGGAGATCGTGTCAGAACACGCCAGAGGCAGGCCAGGAGATATTATCAAGCACTTGGACATGGCCCAATATACCCTCGGTCTCGCAGTCCTTGCCTGTTCTCCCTGCTACGCTGGATCTACTTGATTCAAAGCCAGAAAGTGTTATTCCGAGCGGGATGACAGAAATGCCCATTGTTAATTCATTTATTGCTCGGCGCTTAATGGCCCGTGACTTTTTTTTAGCTGGTAATTGAGATTAACAGGGTTCTTTCTTTCCTACCTGGATTGTACGGAAAAAGCTGCACAAATAGTTTCGGGCAGAGATCACACCGCATGCAGAGCCTTCCTTAACACCCCTCCAGCCCATTTAATATGCAAGTTTGCTGTTACACAGAGCAATAAACGGGCCAGCAAACAACCGCCCTTACAGATAAAGCGGGCATTAAACGAGAACGCTGTCAACGTATTTAGAAGAAATTAGTTTATCATGCATAGCAAAGATGGGTTTCTTGAGACGTCTAATGAAAGCTGATATAGCCATTATCTGATTACTGTAACACACACTCAATCATTAATACAAAAGTCCTCTTTAATGATCTTTGTTTTATGGCCACAGCTATCCTAGGAGGAAGCCGGGAGGTGGGCAGGGGGAAGCGGTGCTTCTTGCTGCTGTTTATGCCAGCTGTAATGGGGTTGTGACACTGAAGAATGCCAATTAGACACCGATGCTTATTTCCTGGCCCCGACCACAAGACGTGGGTCAAACTTACACGAGGTCAGCAGCGTCTGATGTCCTGAGGGCCATGTGGGACAAAATGATGCTATTTGAGATTAATGCAGGGGCCGTGCCAGTTTTCTGCAGCCCCGGGGATTGCTGGATGGCATATTAAGGTGGTTTGAAGCCACAGTCCCCGCTTCAGCTGTGCTGAACCAAGCCCTGCTAGGAGCAAAGAGCTGCACCCTGGCATCTGCATGTAAATGATGATCCTCTTCTTCAGCAGCAAAGCCACGGAGAAAGCCAGGATGCATAAGGGATCTGGTAATTATTTCTCAAGTTTGTTGCAGCAAACTGCACTCTGTTGTTATTTTGCTGCTGGCTTCTGCTAATAATTTGCTCTCCCTTTTTAAAGAATAGACCCGAGAAGAAATTTGTTGGCATCTGGCTCAATCAAAATGAAAAAAGTCATAATAAGGAAACTGTCTTTCAGAAAGAGTGAGGACTGTGTTCTCTGAATGTAGATTTTTTTAATGACTTTGGATTTTGCAGATTGTAGTCATTATACAGCTATTTATGAGGAAGTATTATTGTTGTCTTTGTCAACAAAAAAACCTCGAGAACACTGTCTGTCACCTAGAATTAGTATTGCCACAAAATAAATCTTCTCTCAGTATTTCCATAGATGTTTTCACAGGATCATTACCGAACCTGAACCCCCCTATTAGTGCAAATTAAAAATTATTTAATAGTGCTGCCTGTGAAAGGGTGTTGTTTTTACAGCTGTCAAAGACCTCAGACACTGATCATTTTGTGTAACAATACATTATTTTCTTTTAGTACTTCTAGACAAATTGCAGGTGTTATCTTATGATTCCTTAAATGCCTGTGTTATTGTAAAAGCACTAGTATGAGTGAATAAATAGTCGCCTAATAGGTATTGATTTTGCATCTTTAAAAGCAAGGTGCTGAGAACACCAATAATATGTTTACCTCAAAAATATAAACGTCTTCATGTACCATTCAACTCACGCTGCAAAATTTGGAGCTTTGTATCTCTTTGGAGAGAGTTCCTACTGTGTATCATTTACGTCTCCTGTAAACTTGTAGGTTAAATGGTACATTAGTCTGGTTCTGAATCAGAAATTAAATGTATCCTTTGGGAAGGCTTCTAAATATTTTGACTTTAATGACGGGAGCTTTTTAGCCTCTCTCCTTGTGAAAGTCAGAGTTAGCTCCTTGTTGCTTCCCCCAGTTGCTCCTTCTCCTGTGTGGAGCTGCTAAACCCCACCACTGTCGAATGTGCAGCAGACGGGAGAGTAAGTTCAGTGAAACAGGAGCAATCAAATTTTCCGTTCATGCCGTGCTGTGACCATAAAACAATGGAGTCGTGGTAGACCAACAGAGAACGTGAAAGAAATAGATCTTAAGGAATGCATGTTTTCATGTACTGAAATGGTCACACATTTGCCTACCACATGAAATTCCTAGCTGTGTGTAATTCTATCTACATTCCTGGGTCTCACATCCTGCAGCAGCAACGACAAACGTCCTTTTGTTTATATTTAGGGATTTTGGGGTTATTCATCTTTCATTCCTATTGTTATCGAGTCTCTATTTCCAATATTTGCCTGCATCCTGCTCTCTCCAGCGTGATGTGAGTCCACAGTTAATATATGCACCCCATGCTTGTAGACACCCATGCTAAGCCTCCAAAATTTAGTTCACTGTTCACTTTGGCTGATGTTCTTCCTTGGCCACAGCAATCATTTCAGCACCGTCAGCTCACCTGCCCTTCATCTGCATTTGATCCAACTTGACAAACCCACTCGTTTTATTATAACAAAACACTGGAAGTTTTCAAATGGTTTTTGCTTCCTAGGGTAGACTTCAAGACGAACACGTGCATGTGCAGACATACAAGGTCCTGTGGGTTTGTGCAGTGGCCCTGGGAGAGACTAAACTTTCGCTGCCAATAACATAACCCACATTAGAGTTCAGGTCACAAGAAGGTCGGAAGGGCACCTGAAAGATTCTCATCTATCTCGCTCGACCCAGATTTATAGGTTAAAAGATGAAGTTAGGCACGATGGGTCCAACCCACACCGTCCAAATGATCCAATCTTGGCTACGTATGATCTCTGTAAGTATAAAATCATCTATCCTTTATTACCAATCAACCCAGGTACCTTTGGCCACATGTTTTCCTTAAGCATTGCAGTAAGAAGTAGTTTTTGAAGGACTTGAAAGGCAGAAGCAGTTGGGATGGATGAAAGCCTTGTGGAAGAAGATAAAATTAGTATTGCCATGAGTGGGAAAGGTGGATGAGATTTGACTCGCTGGTCTTCCTTTTGTTTAATGTATACATACGAGAGCTTTGCCTGACACTGTGGAAGAGTCTGCTCCAGCACAAAGATCTACTGTAGTACCCATCTGCAGTACGCAAGGCTTAAATGTACTTTCTTCCTCCACCAAACACCTGTTAGCATTTCCCTCGAGGTAGATCTCACCACTGAGATCAATAAATACATTAACAGCAACGTCTTGCTGTAACTCCTGCAGTAACTCTAGCCCAACCTGCACGCCAGCTCCCCAGAAAGTTTCACAATTCATTCATGCACAACCACAATGTGCTCTCCATTGAGCCTGTCGTGTTCCCCACTTACATTTAAAAGAGAGAAAGTGAGCAAATGAGACAACACGCAAAAATGTACACTGCCCAGGGAAAGCAGCCAGATCCCAGAAAAATATCCAGGAAAAAAAATATATATATATATTTTAACCTCTGGGTCAACCAAATATTCTCTGTTTACTATTTATTTCCTCTGCAGTTTTTAGCTTTTCACAATCCCTTAACATACCATACAACAAATCAAGAGTTTTCAGGACTGCAATTCCAACATCTGCTTCTCCTTGCTATGGTTCCATTTTTTGAATTCAAAAATAACATTACACTTCAAATTTCACATTTATCGTTATATTTCTGAAATCTCACTTCCTTTTAAGTAACTTAAATTCCTCCTCATTTGATGTGATTCCAATGGATTATCCATTATGCCAATAACGTAATTACAAAAATCAAACAGAATTACTCCAGGGTGAGAAGTTGTCTTAGAGCTTTCATTCGCCCCGTTTGGGGTTGCTGGAGAAGTCAATGTAATTAAGAAATGCCTATAGTCCTAATAAACATCCCAAGGTCATCCTCCCCTTGTGCCTGTAGCCCTTTCCTTGCCACTCCAAGCCCTGTCCCGGCCAATAATTGCCACAGGGAAAATGGCAAATAGGGAAAGAGCGTCACCTCTTGTCATGCTGGGAAGTTAAAATATATTTGAGTCGCAGGCAGCCCGGTTTCTAACACCTCATACAGCCCGTTTTGGGAAAGGAATTGCCGCAAGAGATAGTATCAAAGACTGCCCAGCACGGGATTTCAGGAGATCAGTTCTGTACACTGGGCGTATCTTTCAGAAGGGTTTTTTAAACCGTAAGGAAGAGCCTGAGAATACAGGGGGATCTTCATATACACATATGTCTTTAACACCACTTAATTCCTCCAGTGCGTTTTGCCCAAAAGGATTTATCTTGCAGGATCTGAAATAGACCTAGCGAGCAGGGACGTCTGCTGGCTCAATAATAGTGATAAAAGTCAGATCCCGTAATGCCTCCATTTCATTAGGAAGCTATCTGTCTCCTGGCTGCGGCTGGTTATGACCCAGGAAAAAGGGGATGTGTGGCTTGAGATGGCACAGAAAATACCAGCTATATATTAATGACCACGTGCTGTTTCTGTCTTAAAAGGATGGTTCTCCTGGTTCTAGT